TCATCATACCTTTTATATATATATATATATTCTCCGCGCCTCGCCCTCTTCTTACGTCGGCTTCCTTCATCGGCTTCCTGTCTCAGATCATATCTCCAATCATCCTCAAATACTACCTTGAATTCAACTATTCCCAAGTATCTATATCAACCTGCACAACGACATCCTCACAAAGTATTTATACATTGCAACCCTCTTCGATATATAGCATACTTTCCTATACTGGAACTGCAAAGGAACCAAAGGTATTTCGCATACAGCGTTGGGTAGATGGTCCGTGAAGCAGTTTACTGATCGGTATATCTAGTCGGCGATAAGTGTGGCTACCACCCCCAATTCAAGATAGCCAGCCATCACCGTCTTCGAAACAAACTCTCACAACACAACATGGTCTCGGTATCTGATCACTCATTCCATATGCTATCGCGACACATGGGAAATCAAAACGAAAACGACTTTCCACTTTTCCCCGAAGCAAATATGTATTCTCCTCAATATCCATACAATGGCATGCCAAACTTCCAGATCGAACACGACGCTGCGTATGCATACCCGAGAACACAAGATATATACCCTACCAGCACCGGATTCGATTCCACAACTATGTATAGCGAAGTTTCCCAACATTTTGTTGAGTCACCAGAACTGAGAGGAACTGCGCCTTCAAATTACTCCACCGCGAGTGGACCTTCCGCGACATCCTCGACCATTGGCTCTCCCAATTCAAACCACGGGCACATGGTTTCAGTATCTGAGTGGGGTTCTGGACTTGGCATCAATCCAAGTATCGTGAATTACGATAACTTTGGTCAAGGAACCGACTACAACTTCTCTGCAGGTATGGAAGACTTTACTGTAGATTTCAATTCAGCCAAACCAGGCTTCGTTGGTGAGTGTGAAAATATCTCTAGATCTACACCTCGTCAGAACCGTCCTATTTCTTCTTCTTCCTCCCCTATTCATGATTTTCATACTCCAATGGATTCTTCGCGATCAATTGCTTCACCAATCACCCCCGTCAGTGCGTTTCGAAAAGAATTTAGAGAAGAATGTTTGAAATCTCCTCATGTCTCTGCACTTTCAATTTCTCCTGTATCTGGTCGACCAATTTCAAGCTTCAAGTCTCCAACTAGCGCGGGTCGTAGTAACGAGATAAGGTTATCTCCCGTTACTACTTCAATAGCGCAAACATTTACTTCGGAACCGACAACATCATATTCTTCATTTCAAAAATATCCTTTCTTTTCTCAGTCTAGTGGCAATTTTGTTGCTCCACTTGAATCTTCTTGTGTGTTTTCTCTCTGTCAACTCCGGCACAAGCTTCATACACTTTTCTTCGCCAAGCAAACCCCAAAAGAATTTCATACTAACATCAATTTCTAGACCCATCCATTTTACATGCTCCTTTCTCCGCCACTCGCCCAACATCAGCTGTCGGACAATCTGAATTGTCTCCTTACCAAGCACCAATGTATCCTACATCTCCATCACCATCCCAACACTCCTCAAGAAGTCCTGGACCTGCCAAGGCCGATAGCGCAAGCCCTTACTTGGGCTCTCAATATTATCCATACCCAGCACCAATGATCAGACGGCCATCTTTGACAATTTCTCACCAGTCATATGGTTCCCAAGATGGCAACTTTAGTGGTGAAGAATCAAAAGAAAAGGGTCGTTGCACCTGGCCAGAGTGTGGAAAGATCTTCAAAGATCTTAAAGCTCACATGTTAACCCATCAAAATGAGCGCCCGGAAAAATGTCCCATACAGACATGTGACTACCACGTCAAAGGCTTCGCTCGAAAATACGATAAAAACCGCCACACCTTGACCCATTACAAAGGGACAATGGTATGTGGTTTCTGCCCAGGTTCCGGATCTGCGGCAGAAAAATCTTTCAACCGTGCTGATGTTTTCAAGAGACATCTCACTTCAGTACATGCCGTAGAACAAACTCCACCAAATAGCCGTAAGAAGACTTCCGCAAGCATCAACAGTGGAAAGAAGCTCTCCGGATATGCACCAGATGCTACTGGAAAGTGCTCGACCTGTTCGGCTACTTTCAGCAATGCTCAAGACTTCTATGAGCATCTCGATGATTGTGTTCTTCGCATCGTTCAACAAGAGGAACCTTCCGAGGCAATCAACGCTCGTCGTCTTGCAGAGGTCGAACAAGATCACGATGTTCATGAAACTCTCCGCAACAACGCCCTTCCAGTCACTACCAACGTTTACTCAACAGCAGAAGATGATGAGGAGGAGGAAGTTGACGATGAAAACGACGACGACTACTCCATCCGTGTCCGTACATCCCGCAAAAGCCGTCAAAACCGCAACCCAGTCAACGGTGTCCAAAAGTCCAGAGGTATGACTCACTCTAAAGGTGGCGTCACTCTAAATACCAAAGGACGCAAGAAGCGCAAGGACTATCCTTCATCATGGGGATGTCCTACATCTCAAATGAAGATGAAGAAGCGTGTTCTCACCGTCTTTGATGGACCTCGTCGTCTCTGGAAAGACGATATGATGCTCGATACCGATTACGAGGTACGCATCAAGCTCGGCGATGAAAAGCTTACGTTACCGATCTTGATGTGCAAACTATGAGAAGAGCGGAGGCCTTCCACAATGCTACTGAAGAGGAAAAGGGACCTTGGATCGCAGATGATTTGACGGGAATGGATTTGGAGAAGTTGATGGAAGTTAAGAGAGAGATGTAATTCCTCTTCTTACTTTACCTTTCCACACTCCACTTTTGGTTATGAGGTTATGAGATGGACTTTTTTTTATGATTTGCTCAAATGATTTGGGGCATTTTGCATATGTTTTATATCGGCGCTTTGGATACCATTTACATATATCTAAGGGAGATATACTTTAACGGGACGGGACGATACCATTTTCTTTACTCTACTTTTCTTTTACCTTTTTTTTTTTTTTTTTTTTTTTTGGAAAATTCTATACAATATCATATTACATGTATGGGCGATATGGATTTGAGGACAAGACAAAAGTCGCGGTGTGCTCTTTTTCTTTGTTTCGATCTACTTGCATTATCTATTGCATATGCATCAGACAGAGTTTTTTTACGGGAGTTTTTCTTTCACGTGAATTAGGAGATAAATGAGGAAGGGAAGGATGTAAGATCGCTACTTTGGCTGGCCCATTTTTTGTGGTGTATTTCGGAAACGGGGAAGGCGGTTGCATTGGAGGGGGTGTGTCATGGCATTATTGCGCTACTTACTGTATGTGGAAGAATTGAAAGTAAAGCAGTAGTTAGTCAATCTAGGAATCTAGGAATCTAGGAATGAATAAAGAGCATTGGTCTCTCAACTCAAATTTCATACTGCACTGAATGTGACATGGATCTTTTTGGGAAAATTGGTGAAGAGAATAAGCAGCTGTCTGTGTGCGTGGATCGCCTTGCATTGTGCCTATCGCGCTGAGATCCGATTGTTGGGACTGCACGCCATGTAGATCATGATCGGCATTGATGTGATGAATTGATGGATAGATTGACGTAAAGCTAGCTCTGCCTTGCAAATGTGAGTAAACATATGAGTAAACATACATCATCAGTCCCAGTCCATGAATGAAGCGAGATCCGGCCGGAGACGAAAGGAAGATGTAGGGCAAGCGGGTATCCGGATTCATCTTGCGTTGTGCATATCGTATGCGTAGGCTCATGCATGGTCTAATGCAGATGGCTGAATTGAGAATAATGTGCTTTTGGTGGCTGCGTTTTGATGGTCATGAGAAACGATTGATTGAAGGAGATGCCCGAGGATGCATTGTGAGGGGTCAAAAAGGGCTAGGAGAGGAGAGCTGGGCTGGAAAGGAAATTTATTGGTTGGTGACAATGTGACAATGGTAAGGTGAGGTGGTATTGGGTTGTGTTGGGGATAGTGAGGTTAAGGCATAAGATCTCTTGGGACTTGGAATACTTTGATGTGAAGGATGGATGGGTGCGTGGTGTGGAGTGGTGTGGGGTGGTGTATCGTTGGCTCTGCGAGGTAAGGTGGGCTAATTGGTAGATGTAGATTGATATTGGATTGACGATGAGACGAATGCGGTATAGAATATACTACTGGGTAGGTAGGTAATTGTCGGGACGGGTCACGGAAGGTATTTCATACAGTGGAGAAGAAACATGGGATGGGGCATACTAGATTTATTGCATCTTCGATCTTTTAAATGTCTACATTTTGACTGGATTTCAATCAATGCAATGTATTCTCAGCCTGATAGAGTGACGGCAGCGATGATTATCCTAAGCTGGTAATTATTACGATTACCTCCCTAGGTAGTATTGAATCTATATCATCGGAAGATATGGAAAGAGGGGCAATGAGATGTGAAATGTGATGGCCTCGCAACCAATGACCGAATACAGTAGATGCGACGTATATCTTCATATTTTGACAATGTTGCTGCGCTGTTCTCTTGTGCTGGAAATATGTACGAGTAAATGTCAATGAATCCACAGAGATCTACATACCTAGTATACAAATACATACAAATATACACAAATAGATAGTCTGCAAGATGATATAATGGTTTTGTGTTCTTCACCACAGTCGGCTAAAGATAAAGAAAAGCACGAGCCACACTTCCTCACATTTTGTTAATGCGCCACAGCTCTTATCCGCAGAAGTGGCCACCTGGGCAGTTCTACATCGTACCTACGAGCCTACCTACCTATACCACAGCACTGACTACACTAGGTAACTACATCATATGAACTTCAATCAGGACAAATCAATTTCATTCATAAGGAAATGATTAATATGAGAATGGGCACTTGATCCACGTCTGAGAATATCTGCAAAGAGTATCCATACTGTCATTTTTGAAATCATCCGGTTGTCGCGTATCTATCAAGCATTACCTAGGTTGGCGTAGAGCACGCCACATATACATATAGCTTGAAGCTGCTGAGCTACAGAGCTGCCCATCTACCAACTTTACGGGGTCGTAGGTGAAAAGCTCAACATAGGCACAATGGGTTCAAGACTTGCTTGGTATGCTGGTATATCCACTGCTTTGGCAGCTGCAGTGGTTCTTTCTGCGTTTAATCAGCGCGCAAACTTCTACTCAGCATGTGTCTACCTGGCGCAGAGCAATTTGTGTCTTATGGTACGTAGTTCCCGAGCTTCGAACTCTTGAGTCGATGAACATGGCTGACTTTTCCTAGATCCTAATCAATCTGGTATGCTATAGACCCAGATCTCTCATCTCTACGATCTGCGATATCACCCCGCCGAAGCTTCCGATTGCTGACAGGTTTTAGATACTATTCGTCTTTTCTAGTTTCATGTATGGACTCCAACGACTTTGCTACGGCCCTCTACGTCCGATCGAAATCGAGCAGTTATATGAGAAAGCTTGGTTTGCCATCACAGAAACATGTCTCGCCATGACCATATTCAGAGAAGAGGTTGGAGCTTGGTTTCTCGTCATGTTTGTCGCTCTTCTTACCGGCAAAGTTTGGGGCTGGATAGGAGATGGTCGAGTTGAGATTCTAGAACAACAACCACCTGCTAATCCAAAACTTTTTCATATTCGATTGTCGATATCCTTGGCGGTCTCGGTCATTTACGATGCGTGGTTGATGAGTTATACAATCAACACGGTGATTCAACAGGCAAGGCCGAATATGATGGTTATGTTCTTGTTTGAATTTGCGGTATTGACTGTCTCAAGTTCTTCCACCGCTTGTAGATATCTCATTTCTGTGATGGAGATGAGAGTGGTCAAAAAGCAGACAGAGGAGAGATTAATTGAGAGGAAGAGAGAGGTTAGAGAAGAGAGGGCAGAAATGATCAGGCAAAGGGAAATTGCGCGCGCGGAAGCTGGCGAAAATTATCAAGAGCCTACAACTCCTTTGCCTTCGGAGGACGATGTTGAAGAAATGGATATCGAGGTTCCCGGATGGGAAGCAAAGGGTCAATGGGTTTTGACCCTTGATTTGATAACAGGCAAGTCCATATTCGTATTCTATGGTTTTACTTTTACTAACATTGAAACAGACTTCCTAAAGTTAACCATTTACTCTTCATTCTTCTTCATCCTTTTCACATTCTACGGCCTTCCTATCCACATTATGCGAGATCTGTTTGTTACGGCAAGATCATTCGTCAAACGACTCACTGCATTCTTGAGATACCGTAGAGCAACTCATGATATGAACTCAAGATATGAAGATGCGACTGTTGAGGATATTCAAAGGGAAGACACATGTATTATATGTCGAGAAGAGATGCGACCTTGGTCTGTAACAAACCCACCAGTACCTGCTGGAGCACAACCCAGGCCAGGTACTGTCAACGAACGTACAAGGCCGAAGAAGTTACCTTGTGGTCATATTCTCCATCTAGGATGCTTGAAGAGCTGGCTTGAACGACAACAAGTATGCCCAACATGTCGAAATCCTGTGGTAGAAACACCTCAAGATGCACAACCCAATGCCAATCGAAATGCAAGAGCTAATCAACCCGCTCCCGGCCAACAAGATGGACCCGCTGGTGCTGGTGCTGGACCTGTAGCAGCTCCCGCTCGTGGCCGCGGTATGCGTATGCTTAATCTTGGACCAATCAGGGTCGGCTTTGGTCAGGCTAACCTGAATGATTTCGCTGCCTTTCAAAACCCTCCAGGAGGACAAGCGAATGCCGCAGGTGCAGGACCTAGAGTTTATGGCTTAGAACTAGGTATCCCTCGTCGAGCTCAACCTCAAGCCCCACCAGCACTTTTGGATCCTGGGCAAAATGGCGCGTTTGCACTTGACCAATTACCACAACATTTAGAAGAACTCGAACAGCAAGTCGCGCAGGAAATTCGAAACTTGCAATTGAGTCAGCAGCAGCTATTAATTGTCCAGTTGCTACAAAATGAGTTGACAAGATTGAGAAATTTACAAAATAACGCCGCGGATCCTTTGGCAGCAAACTTTCCCTTGCCGCAGATGCCTACCTTTCAGAATCCGCCACAAATCATCCCCTCATTCAGTAGACCATCAAGTCAACCACAAGTGCACAGACACAGCGCACGGTCCAATACCTCTGCAATACCATCCGGTAGTGCTGACCTTCCACCTGGAGTTGTCATACCGGAGGGTTGGTCACTTCTCCCATTAGAAAGACTACATAATGCGCCATTACCGGGTCAAGCAGCGACATCAGGACCTGCAGCAGCATCGACATCTAATGATCCTATTATAGCCTCTGCATCTACGCAAAATGTAGTCAGCCCTACAATTGAGAGAAGTGAAGTTTCTAATAATAGCGCCACACCAATCAACACTGAACAAGTCAATTCGCAAGCCGGCTCGGTTGGCTCTTCTGAAACAAACGCCATTGAAACTCCGCCCTCTATCTCGGCTGACCAATCGGCATCAACAATTACCACTTCTACAGAGCCAGCTTCTACAAATACAAATCCATTTGTTGACCCTCCTAGTTTACCTAACTGGGGAAATTCACAACTATTTGTAGGATCAAGCTTGGCTGGGAATCACAATCTTGATGGCGCTCATTCAGTGCCAACTTCGCCTCTACATGATCGTAGTGAGAATGTAAATACTCATGTTTCTCTTGATACGATGACAGGTACTGGTGAATCAACTAGTAGTTCAGCTGAGCATAGTGGGCCAAGAGGAGATGAAGATGGTGAAATGAGGAGACGAGAGAAAGGGAAAGCCAAGGCGGTGACGGTGGAGGATACAGTGGATGAAGAAGAGTGAGGGGACATGATGTGAGATGAAAAGTACATTGAATAATTTTAGGATTTCGTTCGACATTCACGTGCACATTGCTTATCGTGCATGGTGCATAAAGCCAGCGATCAAATGGAATCCAGTTACAGATACATTAAGGGCGTTTGGGGAAGGAATTCTCCTGGGATTGAGGAATGGATTGGCGCATTTTCTACGTAACATGCTATGAATAGGCTTAAGGCTTAAGCATAAATTACTAGCCTAAGCATAGCTCTGACGTTATACTTTACATACATGACATGGCATAAGGTTATCTTTGAGTCTGACAGCTCAGGCTCGGCTATGCTGTGCTGTAGCAGAGTGATAAGGAGGGTAGAGGGTAGAGAGACAGACTATAGCGATAGCAAGAACCTTACCAGTTTTGTATGATCCAGCGTATTTATAGCGGCTATAAAGAATTACAAAGTTATAAAGATAGATGATTACCTACTTGAAGTCATATATTTAGTGCTAAGGCTGTTGAACATGACACACTTTTACATATTAATTGCATTTTATAAAGAGGACATTTCATTTTCTTTAATGCCACGAGGGTTACGTAGGGAGTAGATGTAGATATGAATAAGGAAGTCTTACGAACGAGTACTCGATACTTTGGTGCAGACCCTAGTAATTGTCTGACTTTGAAACGAGGTTTGTGTTCAGGGAGGGGAGTGGGTGCGTGATGGCTTTAATTTATTTGGTGTTTGGGTTTGGGGATTGGGGATAGATGATTTGTGAGGTTGGGGGCGGATTGGTTAGCTTTATGAGGTCATTGGATGGGATGGGATGCATGGGATGCATGGATGGATTTTCATTTGTGCAAGAGGGATAACATAGCATATTATGGTGTAGGATGGGCTGGTTTTGGAGTGGGAGGGATGAGGTGAGGTGAGGTGAGGTGAGATTTGGAATCTTCAATAGAGTTCCAACGGGATAGTTGCTTGAAGCGAAGGGAGATCAGAGCCAGTTTGGAGGCAATCATGATGGTGATTCATGGTACCTGGTAGATGAATGACATGGATGATTTGGGGAATGAATCCACGAGAGAGAGAAAAGTCAGAGTCAGAAATCACATGTGAGGGAGTGGAGTGATTGAATTGATTGATTGATATCAAAAGTGCTGGGTAGGTAGGTACTCGTATCCATCCATCTGTCAGGCTTTCCTTCTCGGAAACGAAACCCATCTTCCTCGTAACTCGTACAAAATCAGATGCGGCGATTTCTCCGATGCGGAGTGATGGCACGTGTGCTTCTGTGGTAATACAATACTATAAGTATACTATACGGGCGGCTAATCATTTCTCTTTTTAATTTGTTTGTTTGTTTTTTGTTTTCAAACAATCACCAACTGTTAGTTGTAGGTAGATAGTTATTTAATCGAGAAAAAAGCGAGTTCGAGTTAGTTATTAGCTTGGGATGGGAAAGACGTTACATTGTAACTTAAGTCTCTTTATCCGTGGCTGATGATGGAGAATCAATTCATACCTACCTAACCATAGTCTCGGGATTCCGATCACACCACACTCTCTGCTTACGGACCCCGGAGGGAAAGCGCTTACTGATAAGGATGGGGTAGGGCAGGATAGGGTAGGGTAGGGGATTAGTGTGCCCTGGATGAGCAGGTATGCAGCCTTACCATCTTACTACCACGAAATGAGATGTACCTCCGTACCTTGCCTACCCTCTCTTTAGGCTTGAAGAGATACCCGGCCTTGTGGGTGCGGATACGAAGACCCAGTATGTTGCTTATGTAGTTGGTTTCCGGGGGTGTTTATCTACCTGTGGATTTCCTGGCGGGGATGGATGGAACCAACTGTTGGTTTTAATCTCTGCATTTATGAGGGAGGGGTGAAAACTACCATTTATTGAAGATAAACCATACGGCCCCCAGATTACCCTCCGCCGCATGCAGATACATAGTCACCAACGGTCCCAACATCCTGGCGAATAGCCGCAGCCGAGAAAGCCGTGTTGGTTGTTATGAGTCGATTCTCCTTTTCTTGTGCATAGATTTTGAACATGAATCATTCGTTTGGGAATTGGGATGGGAAGGGCCAATGCGACTATGATGAGGATGCGGGTCGAGTGAACTTTTGAATATGGATGTTTACGAATGGTAGGTTGCAATGATAGCGATTAGGTAGTATGTGGTTGAAGTTGTAATTTTACTTTTACCGACTTAAATCGTGTTGGATGACTTTGTGTGTGCAATTGAGGAGGTGGAGCACAGCGGACACGGGATGCGAAAGTTGTTGTGAACGGGCGTAGTGTTAACTTAACTGTTCGATTGATACGATTTGAGTCTTACCTGATTGTCGATTTCGATGGAATGTGATTCCGAGTCTGATAGTGTCAGTCTGGATGCAGATAGTTCTGTTGTTCTAGGCCGCTCCTTTTCTTTTCCCGATACAAACTTGCAGCGGTTCTTGTACTCCTGCTAGAGTCAATTCTATGCGTATTTTCACTTGGCTAGTTTATGGATGATTGTCTTGGTATGGCACTTCTGAGAATCATATACCTGCATACTTCCTGTATATTACTTTGAGCATAGATCTCTTCAAATCTCGTACTCTCTGTAGACAACGATGCAGTAAAAAACGAACAGAGACTTCACGGATGCGTGCGAGACTTAGTGGTTATGATGCAAAGGGAAGGGCAGATGGAAAACCGCGGGTTTGAAGCAGTATGAATAGTCATAAAATCTTCAGTATGCTTCACAGAGGCCAGGCGATTTTCTCAGAGAAACATAAATTGATTAATACAAACTACCTTATCCAGAAAAAGTTGCCTGGCCCATCGGCTTGAAAGTCATAAGAAAGAAAGTTCCAAACATGCTCTGCATTTATCTCCAAACCTTGATAATTCCATACATGATTATGCACCTGGAAAGAATCCATCACTACCATAGCAAGTGAGAAAAGTCCCATGTAACCTCCAAGCTGGTGACCATCCATAGCATCAAGACTACCAACAAACTATCTCCATACCTCCTAGCTATTTCTGTTCCACCATCCTATTACCGCATCCAATTAGCTACCATTAAATAGATCAACAATTCGATACGATGCAAAGAGCCTACTACCTTACCAAGCAGCATTAAGAGCACTACAATGACCATCCTTACAGCCCTCACACAAATCCTCATTATGCGGGCCCTTGCTCGTTCCAGAATACACCGGCTTATCCATCTCAATTCCACTCCACTTCTTAAGCCGATACGCTACCCTCTCCGCATAGGAGTCATCCAGAATGGGTTGACTGAGAGTGTTGCAGCTCTTGCATCGCTGATGATATACTCTCCCATTGTATTTCGCTCCAGCATACATGCGTATCGTGATCGCTATCTTCTTACTCGACCATCCATAGGAGGTACATGCACGTTTGTGACATATGAATTTGCCCATGATGTTGGTGTCGTATTCTTTGGTACAGCCGATCGGGTCGTCGATGGGATGGAATTCGAAATGGAGATTGTGCTCTGCTAGGAGGCGTGCTACACTGTCGTGGAGGGAGGGGTACATGGACCATCTGTTTTTGGGCTTTGGTTTTCTGTATGGTGGCCAAGGCATGTTGATTCGGCGAGTGATGAGAAGGGGTAGAGGATTTTAGTTTAAGTGATTTCGGGTCGAGCAAACCCTTCATTTTCCGTTAGTTTCCAGTTTGATATAAAGATGAGTCCATTACCTTAGCCTTCCACAAAACACAAATGAGAATGGTTGCACATCCAACAATACAATACTGATAGTAATTAAAGACTTGGATCACAGTCGTGAACACTTGACCTCCATTCGAGATAAGTCGAAGAAGAGGGAGGATACGAACTTATATCAAGAACCTCGACTCGACTCGCCTCCCTATCAGCATCCTTCCTTTCCACTCACCCAATCAAAAAAGAAACAAGCCTCGCACAACATTCGTTTGCTTTGACCTCGGCAATACCACCTCATCAGATCCATTCATCTGCTGCTAGCCAAGCTACCCCTCTCTCGACGCGATCCCGCATACACCACCACCAGACTCGCAACGAATCATTATCCGAGGCTGCTCAAGCTCGCGACCAGTAACATTTGTCTCCGTTAAAATATCAAAAGTACAATCAACCTCAACGATGCGACGCACCCACGCACAAGCAATGCTGATCTGATTTGATCTGACCGGATACGCGTCATGCTTTTGATTTCCAGCAAACATTCACATCCCCACAACCCATCATCCCAACCACAAACACACACATACACACAAACAATATCCGATACCAGAGCTCTGCATATATTTATTACCCACAAGAAGAAAACCAGACTACTTCTTTCACTCTGGCAGAGTAACTGATAGAGAGCGCCAGACTCCTTCTTTTCATCAATAGGTAGGTAGGTAGTTAGCAGCAATTGAATGATATAGACTTAATAATATAAACTCAATAATATAAACTCAATAACATAGACTCAATAATGTAAATTCCACAGTCAGTCAGTCAAAATCAATCATATACATGTATATATATATATATATATATATACATGTACATATATCACTTGATCTCCCACCGCCTAAGAAATTACTCCAGCTTTCAAAATCGATTTCTCGTAGAAGGTGGTAAATGATAGATACACCAAAAACCTACATGCAATCGTAATTACACAACAAGTGAAACAATGCGATACAATTATTGCATCTGGCAAGGCATGTAGACATGTATCTCATGAGAAAATGTATATGCTTGGGTAAAGCTAATGCGACTAGCACGTGTTTCCAACATGATAAATATTCCATGTATGTATCTGCTCTATTCATAACTCATATCGTATCATTCAACTTCATATGTATCGTTGCCGACACATCTATCAATTTTTTTCTCTCCACCTGACCACTTCACCACTTCTCGATTTTTCTTCCCCGAAATGATTTCAAACGGCCTAATCCGACTTTCCCATTCTTTTTAACAAAAACCAAACACCCAAACACCCTCCTTCACGCTATACACCCATCCATCAAACAAACAGAAACAAAATAAACACCAACTGACAGCTACAACTCAAATAAACAATAGGTATACAACAACCATGCCGCCCGCTCCTATGACTATGCTTATGCAATGTAAACGTAAGATCGAAAATGAGATATAAATGCCAACTCCATCTTCCCATAAACACCCTCCTTTTTCATTTCCCATACAATCTCGCTAAAAATGCAAACCAACTGGTAGTAATGTCCAACTCGTCAGACCTGCGAAACCCCTAATCCAATACCCTTTCCTCTACCCTTTCTAATCACCTCCATTGCTCTCCCCACCGCATTTAAATCCCCCAACAAAGTGACGTGCCCTCTATCACTCCTAACCTTCCCTCCCTTAACTAATTGATACCCTTCTGGCAGCATTGCCTCTTTCGCCAGACAAACCCCATCCCCACTTGCAAAAGCCAGATTGTCATAAACGTCTGCGCACGGGATCCCTTCCTTACCTGCGACCTTCGCTCCATAAACCGTGGGTATCGATTTTCCATAAATGACTGCCAATGGAGGGTAACGATTTGCTTCCGAGATTTCGGGTCGGTGATGAAGTTCTTTTTTAAATTGAAGTGTTTCGGCTAGCGTGCGTCGTAGATAGGCAATTGCTTTGTCGCGGGGAAGAGTGACAAGAGTGGAGACCGAGGGAGCAGGGTTATAAGGTTTACCAAGGGAATTGCCCATTTGAGGTGCAAGGGTACGATCCGTACCATCTACCCCACGGAGAGCTTCTGCTGCTCGACTGGTTTTGGATTGGTCGGTTGATTGATGTCGATCATCATTTTCGTTGCGAGAATTAGATCCGAGGTATGGTGAAGAGGGTTGAGGAGTATTTGTACCAGAGCCCGAGCCAGAGTTCGAACCTGAGCCAGTTTTCTTTCCAGTTATCGTTAGATTTGATAGACTGTTGGGTAGTTGAAGATTGAGAATACTGCCAAGTCCACTACCAGATTGAGAGATTGGTGGTAGTGGTGGATCTGTAACAGGCGACCAACGATATTTGATCCAATCATCCAAATTGAAAAAGTCGACGGGATATCTTTCTCTTGTATGGAGATCAAAGAAACACTCCCCATTTTCAGGAAGGAGTACAAAACTAGTCCGTAGTGTAAAATTGACTTGAGCGGTTAATACTCTTGAACTCAATAGGACAGCATCTCCATTTCTAAAGGGACCAAGAATGTTGATACATGATTGTGGAACACCAGCATATATAACTCCACTAAACAACTCAGGCTTTTGATTCACAACATGTCTCGTGATCAAACCCCCCAATGAATGAGCAATGACCAGAGCACCAGTGGGCTTTTCTCCATTAGGACCTGGCTGATTGGAAGGTAATGTCTCCAAGAAGGCTTTCAGCTTTCTACTTAAAAGATGCGGACTTAACCTCCAATCATAACCATAATCCCACACTCTGAGTTTCCCATTCTGTGCATTTTCGCAATTGCGAAGTCGTTTGAATAACCGCCTGGATATATCCACTGGTCCAATATTTTTAAGCATCCCAGATGGGATTATATTTTCTTCCATTCTTTCCTCGTCCTCTGGATCCAGACCAACTTCCAGGTCCACTTTACGGAGGTTGAGTCCTACCTTGACAGGTACCCAAAGTTGATGATTTGGTGCTTTAGCAGATCGGAGTATCGATCCTCGATATCCACCCATAATTACAACATCACCCGTCAAATGTTCCATAGCCTTATCTAAAGCACTTGTAGGTTTCGTCGACGACCGAGTATTCTCACATCCAAAAAACGAATCGGATTTCGAAAAGGAGGGACTCGATTCGAGTGGCTTCTTTTTTATAACTGCTGGTAATACATCTGAATGTGCATCAGTAATTGACCTTGATCTGTACGACGCTGGGCTGGAATTCAAAAAGTTCATGCTAAAGCCAAAACTGGGTACGCGGGGCATACTTGGCATACTAGGAAGTTGTGGCATTCGAAAAGTCGATCGATCTTGAAAAGAGTCTCTGATAGCTTTGACTCGAGAATTAACTTGTTCGCGGTGATTTTCGAATCGTGTATCATCACCTAGTGAGGAACTTCGAGATAAGCTATGATATAGTAATGAATCATCAGATGTTGCTCTGCGAAGAACCAATGGCCGTTCTGTTGTGTTGCTATTGCTTGCTGTACTTGCATTCTGAAGTTGTGAATTACTATGACGTTGCGATGGGTGGTATTGAGTTGTGAGGTGCCTCTTTACCTGATTGTTATTCGTGGATGATTGCCCCTCGCCTTTTAATTGACTAGGCGAGGTAGAAAAGGGGGAGAACGTGGCGCTTCTTGGCGAACTAATAGATGACCGAGACTTATGAGTCGAACTCGTTGATGTACTAAATAAGTTTCCTACTTGAGCCATTGAAGGTAGCCCCTTTGGCAGCAGTTTTTTGAGCGCATCAGCACTGCTAGATAATGAACTTTGACGTTTCCTCCCATTCCCGTTATTGAATACACTAGCCATTGCTGATGTGCGACTATCATTTGGTGGTTCTGTAACGACAATTGGCTTCGGTCCTGCCCGCCACGGCGAAGGAGGAGATGGCAGAGGTAGAGGAGGGAGTGGTTTTTGTGAAAGGTTCGGTGATGGTGATGTTTCCAATGCCAATCCTTCTCCCTTTGTAGTTGTTGGTAACTCTTCATCGAATGGCCCATTCGCAGTTGGCTCTAATGCTAGCGGAGTCTCCGGGTCGCTGTCAAAATAACCTCCTTCTAAATTATCCATGGCGGCAGCCTTCTCTGCAGCAGGTGTTCTCGAAGTTCTCAAACGTGAAGCTGCATGACTGAGTGAAACTCCAATGATGGATTGTGCATCCTCATCTGTTATATGAGGAACTGCCATGGTTTCTGCTTCGTCCGAGAAATCATCGCTGAATTCGTACTGATCTGCCGCAATGGTCGTTGACGTTGAAGCATGCAATGGCTCGTTGCCATTCTGAGGGGATGATTTTGAAGCCATTGTCCGGTTCCGTCTTTGTTCCCGATTATTTCCTGCTTTATACCCTGTTTACATCAATTGTTTCTAATCCATCGTTGTTATGATTTGCAATATAAATTTGAGAAGTGGCAGGAAAGAAAAGGAAGAGAAAGCTGCAGACGTTTTCCGCTGTTTCCGGATGCGATACGATAGATACGATAAGCCGCCTTATGGAGCCTCCAACAATTTTTTAACCATTTACTAGGATACTTCCTGTTTGGGAGAGTTGTTTGATATATTATGATTCGTGAGAATGTGCAATTTGCTTGTAGTAGTCTAGAGCTCGAATTCTTTTTGGGAGATTGGTTGCGCCGTACACCGCGAGCGTCAGGAAGTCCATAGCTTCGATAGCTCGTTGTTCATCCTGCCAGTGCGTGCCAGCAAAGTCAATTCCACTTGTAGTTGACGTAATCGAGGAGTGGCAGTGGGGATGGACGGACTCGCGGAGTTTGTCAAATGTGAAAGGTTAAAGACTTTCATAATTGGTTGATTCATTATACCTACCATTCTAGTACCTACCTACTTTCCAAAAGACGAATCATCAGAGATGATAGTCTTTTCATCCATATCTTGAGTGGAGAAGAAATGGAAAGATTGAAGATTATGTGAAGTGAAGGGATGTACTCTATGGGGAAGAGAGAGAGGAAAGGAAATTGCATTGCATGTGAAATCATGTGAATGGACCCTTGGAATTCTGTGTAAGGTTACTTGTATCATTGTTTTGAGATGTTTTTCTTATGCGACTAATAAAACGATTGATACGAAATAGCCAATTAGAGTCATCCCTCGAATGCTGTGTAGCCAGCCTTGCCTTGCTCATATATATCAAGAATACGCATACGACGTATAGTAGTACACCTAGGACATCCATACATGCATACCCATCTCGTGCCCATATACGAGTCTCATAGTGTTATATACACCATTCGCACTGCATTTTCTGCATTTTCTACTGCCGACCAAATCTAGGGATCTTGAAGGACCTTACCTTACCTAATTAATACCTCCCGAGCCTACCTACCACCTACCTAGGTATGATTCTATAAAGTATGCATCAACTTCTTGGCCCACCCACAATAAATGTCTCCCAACGACCGGTTGCAGCGGACACCATCCAAAATCCCGCACCCGAAGTTACCGGACTCACCGGACTCAGAACTTCAGAAGCTATAAAGAATGCACTTCCTTACCTTTGACATACCAGGTATATCCATATCCGCATTGAACCATACGGAATATATCTATTTCTACATACGAAGTATATCCAGACATCCACACCTCTTCTGTTGAAGAAACTCCCATGTCTCAAGGGTACACCTGAATTCGGCTTATTCAGACTGAAAACGGATAATGTAATCAGATTTCATAATCCAATCCAATTTTCATCCAATCACAATACAAGGACTCCCTGATCCCATCCATGGATCCCAATGATCCCGTTCATTCCATACACAGCCTCACTCTGGACGAAATAAACGGCACACCGAAAATGCAATAACATTTTCAAAATTCTGTTTTTAAATCAATAATTAATATTTTTGATTTTGAATTGAAAGTGATTATTTTAAATCTAATAATTTATAATATATCTTTGATATGTTTATTTTATCTTATTATTCAGAATTGTTATTCAATTTTGAAATAATAGTGTTTTGAAGAAAGTCTCGATTTTGGCGGGTTTGGTGTGCCGTTTTTTTCGTCCAGAGTGAGACAGCCCCTCACGTTTTCAGGGGCAAGATCAACCATAATTTCCTTACGGAGTATGCTTGAAAACAAAAAAAAAATCACTCTCACAAGTGAAACACTCGTTCTTGGCGATCCGGGGAAACTTTTTTTAAAATGAATTTCTCGTATTTTTAAGTGGTTCAATTTGATTCATCATTCATCATAGTTATTCACGCGAAACTCGAGTGTCTCTCGCGGTTTCATTCAATCATGTCATCTTGTACTAGGTCATCACGATTTAATCTGATCCTGTTCACTCATTTCACGCAAGATGGAAGGTGAAATTGATGGCAATATTGAAATGCAAAATAGATACAGTATATCAAACAAATAATCTTGATTCTGAAATTAATTTACTCAATTACTTCAAGACAGGTAGGAGGGATGGCCCAGCCCAACTCTCTACTTATTAGTTCTCGAGCAATTCCAATTCTGTGTATTTCCTTGAAATGTTTCCATCCCACGATCCATACCAGTCCATGTAAATATTCAGAATTAAGAATTAAATGTTGATGTTGAAGAAGAAAAAATTGCGCGTAGGAAGAAAAAACTTCTGATCCAAACTGTCGTTGCCCAGACCAGACTCTAATAGAATAAACAAAGTAAACATCAACACCTCCGTAAGGTATCTATCCCCTTTTTCGTAGACCCAAGCCAAAATTAACTTGTACCGGCGCCCGAAAATTCCATTGTGATGCAAATGCGTGAAACTTGTCGATAGGTGAGCACTCAGATGCTTACAAAAGGAAAGCAGCGAGTCCGAAGACGGCGGCGATGGCAGCTCCTCCAACTTGAAGGTTGGCGGCAGCACCGGTGAATGTAAGTGGGGTTTGGGTAGCAGCTGGGGTGGTACCGTTGGCTGGGACGGAGATGTGTCCAGTGGTAGATGGCTTGGCGGAAGCAGCTGGGACACCTGGAGCAGTGGTCTCATGTCCAGAGAGGGAGATGGTGGAGTAGATGACGGTTGGGATACAGGTGGTGATGGCAACGACAGAGACGGATGGAGCTGGGGAGGAAACAACAACACCGAGGGAAGAGCCAGCGGAAGAGGCAGCTGGTGTGGCGTAAGTTGGGGTGAAGCTGGCTGGCTTGCTGGAAGCTGGTGCGCTGGAGGCTGGGGCAGATGTTGCTGATGCTCCTGAGGAGCAAGCAGTTGGAGTGATCAATGATCCATTGCTATCATATGGAGAGTATCCGAGGCATGATGCATAGCTGGAAGCACAACTGGCTCGGTTTGCATCTGGAGCACTTCGACAAGTGTTATACTCAGTGGTGCAGGTTGCGGCGCATGCATTAGCAGATCCTGATGGTGCTGGAGCAGATGCAACTGGCGCGCTTGAGGCTGGGGCAGATGTTGCTGATGCTCCTGAGGAGCAAGCAGTTGGAGTGATCAATGATCCGTTGCTATCATATGGAGAATATCCAAGGCATGATGCATAGCTGGAAGCACAACTGGCTCGGTTTGCATCTGGAGCACTTCGACAGGTGTTGTACTCAGTGGTGCAGGTTGCGGCGCATGCATTAGCAGATCCTGATGGTGCTGGAGCAGATGCAACTGGCGCGCTTGAGGCTGGGGCAGATGTTGCTGATGCTCCTGAGGAGCAAGCAGTTGGAGTGATCAATGATCCGTTGCTATCATATGGAGAATATCCAAGGCATGATGCATAGCTGGAAGCACAACTAGCTCGGTTTGCATCCGGAGCACTTCGACAGGTATTGTATTCAGTGGCACAAGTAGCAGCGCATGCATTAGCAGATCCTGATGGTGCTGGTGCAGATGCAACTGGTGCACTTGAAGCTGGGCTGGAGGCAACTGGTGCACTTGAAGCTGGGCCGGAGGCAACTGGTCCACTGTTGGATGGCTGACCGGCTGGGGTGACAGATGAAGGAGCAGCCTCAGTAGAGGAGGTTCTTAAGTAGACGGTGGTGGAAACTTGGGTGCTGCGAGCTGGGCAGTTGGTGACAGTTGCGGCGCAAGAGGTGATGGTGACTTCCTCAGTGACCTATGCAATGTTAGTCAGATGCCCTCAAGTCTCTTCAATGCAATCTTGTTCAAACTCACGTAGTCAGTGGAGGTGGCAGCCATGGCGGCACCAGCGAACATGGAAACGGCGACAGCGGAGAAACGCATTTTGAATATTATTTGGGGTTTTGGGGTTTAAAGGTGCTGAAGAGCGGTGATAAAGAGTTTACTGAAGTTGATCTGTAGAGTTTGTTCTGTAAAGAATGGACGACCGAAGTCAAAAGAAGGTATTTATGATCTGGAAGATTGACTTGTTTGGATGAAGAAGAAAAGTGAATAGAGGAGGGGCAAGTCAACCCCATATAAGCTTGGGAGATTAAACAAAGATGGGAGATGGGCTTGGCCACTTAGGAGATTGACAAGGAAGAGCTGCTTTTCAGCGGTCCCATGTGGAGAGACTTTCCACACTTTTTCCCACCACTAGGCGAGCAAAGAATACCCGATTCGTAGTTGGATTGACAGGGGAATCACTCTCAAACCGGTAGTCGTGCAAAGTAACTTTTGCTAGGGCGAATATGTGTAGCCATTTGGCGACCAATGTATACACCGCTGACCCAAAGGCAAAGTTAGCCTCCCTTTGACATCCACTCTAATTAACAGGAGTGTGAGGGATGTTTTTCCCATTTCTCACGTTTTGGTTTCGGGGATTTCCAAACATTCGACCTATGAGAAGCTGTAGGCCTAGTTCATCCGTTCCTTGCGATTTGACGTTTCGTGGCTTGAATTTCATGCGCACCGAAGGAAGGCCGGACCAGAGAAAATACATGGTTTGGGAGTCTTGGTGGCTTTGTGCCGGCGTAGCGTCTTCTACAGGGTCGATCTAAATTCATCTAATGCAGGAACAAGACCAATTAGCGGTTGCATTGGCTTTGGTTCAACAAGTGAGAACCCCTCGAGCCCCTATAAATTTTACTTCAACCTAAGCCTGACATTTGTCTGACTAGGAGCTCTAGGAATGATTATCCATCCCAAAAGCTCCTGCAAATGTAACTTTAAGGCGTAGGTCCCTTCTGTATCGCGATTGACTCCAGGTTTTGGTTCAATTGTTTAATCTTCTGGATTCTGGAAATCCTCCCATCTCACCATTTCATCCTAAGGCTTATCCAGAGTCACATTTAACGGTTCCAAGCTTCTATTTCCAGATCATCCATAGATGGATCTTATAGATGGATATGGATATGGATATTACCTACCTACCTAGCCCTAGGTTCCTGATGATGTGGCTGTGGCTGAGGCTGATGCTTTTGCTTTTGTTGTTGACGTCCACGTTGCCGTTGCTGTTGCCGTTCTTTCATGTAATCAATCATGTAATCAAAGAATCATCCAATCATCTAATCATATAATCATGTACGGAATATCCAATACGGATGGCTGATGTTGTGTCGCTCCAGTTTACTTTAGATGATTGTTTCACAAGTTATTCCTCGAGTAGAAATTCACAGTTCACCGGAGTCAGGACAGTGAACAAGTTCTCCTCACCCTCATCCATCTTCAAATCATTATGATTCAATACCCAAATTTGATTCGCTCGATGAATTAGATGCCCCCGTATATTCCCATTTCCACTCACAGTCCCAGTCACTTATGATTCAAATCCCATTCTTTAATAATAATAAATCATCTGACCGTGCGTGCTTCATCCCAGACTCCCAGTCGTCTGCTTTCCATTTAAGCATCTTTTGGAACCTGATAGGAAATTGTCGACTCAATTTCCAAATATATTCAATTCTCAGTCCTCATCGGGATCAGAGGCTCCAAAATTGGTTGATCATAATTTCGAATGATAATTGTATCTTGAAGGGGATTTAATCACCGTCTCGTCTCTTCAACGATGTCTATTTTCGTATCGCCATCATGGAATGAATCCGCAAATGATGCGATTTGATTGATTATCCTTACCTACTCGGAACGAAATCTCTAAGATTTGCTTTGTAAATTGCAAAATTTACAATACGAGCTTCATCGTGGTCGAATTACCCAGGTCCCAATTTCAACCAAGATAATGTTGCCGTATTCACTCTTCATTGATTAAAGATCTCTTTCGGGGTTTGTCAACTCCATAATTTCTCCAACAGAAATGAGGCCATCTCGGCCATTTACTATCGCTGTCGAAAAACCGACATGGCTTTTACTCGATCGACTGATTTGATACACTGGCGTCTTCTGTGCGGTTGTTTCCTCCACAATACTCGAGAACCTCCCTAGCATGTAGTACCGACACCAGCGAGCTACCTAGTAACTTCCAGCTTATCGACAAATGCCAAGATATCGAAGATTCGCCGGTAGATTGTACGGAGTATACCCCCGTGAAAAGGGGCATGACGGTGAACATGTCATACATGCTTTGAAAATATAAATGCATGGAAATGGTTTATGCAACTGTGCAAGTTCGTCATCATCTACGACTTATCGACGCGATCTTTCTTCTATTTCTGGTATATTCTAATCGCACACACCCAGTTATCGACGTTCATCTTAGTCTGGATAAGATTCAAGTCTTACCATCCCGTACACTGGTTTTACTTACTTTTCGCAGTGTATGACGACAACAACTTGTGTTCAACGCCATGATCATGTCCCGAATGCAAATCACTACAGTATATCAAAACGATCGACAGATAACACTGCGTTTACTATCACTATCCATGGTCTTACAAGACGATACAAGACGACATACGTCAATTGATTGACAAAGTTCCCGTGTGTCCTCGATTAATTTATGTTGCGCGCGAGAACAATTCAACAATCCGAGAGCAAGATATACATACTATATATACCTAGGTACATGGTACATATGATAGAATTCTGCTATTTTAATCTCAAAGGGTATTCATAGATCTGCAAGTCCTGTTAATTATCTATCCATATCATCAACACTCAGTCTTAACAACAAACGACCGTCTGGACATCACATCATGGTTAGATTTGCGCGTCGTACAAAAAGAGTACATATTCTCTCACAACACCAACTCAAACACATACGACCATAGACTGAAGAGAATTGGGCATCCCGTCCGCTCTGCCATACACAAGCTTCAGATCGGTGGATTAGTAGTTGGGTGGGTGACCACCAGCGAATCCCCACTGTTGTATGTGAATGTCTGTTTTGCCAGTCATTGTTCAATTTTGGGTCGTGTCCCTTGTCAGAAATTCATATGCTGGAATGAGTGTCACCGAGCCTCATTTTTACATGCGCATACCATTTGCCTTGTTTCTGTTGAATAGACTTTTATTTTTCGCTCGAGATCCACCTTTGTCCTTTTTCCATCCTTTTTCCAGATTTTGGTGTGACTGGAAAAGCAACTTTATGTTCTATTTCAGTTTATTTATAGCAGTATCGCCACCAGATCTCCGCTATAGCTAATATGCGTCCTCGTAATATTTCGCTGCGGAACTACCACCATCGCAGAAGTCTATTTATGTAGTGCCGGAGGCCACTAAGGGCTCCCCATGTTTCTGGATTAATATAACTTATCATGGAGACGCAGTCTGAATTCCCTTTTACATTCTGCCTGTACTTCCTATTTTCTTGTCTCATCCTTCGGTATGTACATTCTGTCCATCACTATCCATTTTCCCTTGATTTCTCCTAGTTGTCGAGAGACACCTCGTTTGTTGCGTTCATGGCTCTCTACTGAGTGAGAAGCCCCGTCATACTCTCTGGTCAACGGGTTTGAGTGCGCATCATGGAACCTTGTGTCTTCCTTCCCTTTGCCATTTTCATTCATTCACTTTGTGAATGAAATAGGCGCACTGTATTATGGTACAAATGAGTCTGTAAATCCGGGAATCTCGAGTATGAGATCAATCGATTTTCTCATGGACACCTTATAAAAATGACTGCCACTCAACTGATCATGCATCGTCATTTTCCATTATTTGATTCATGGGTTCTTAGGACCACAGCTACCGAGACAATAAAGTATGCTTGTTACTATGGATCGTGCACTTATTTTTTGTCATGTGGTATTGAATTCACTGTGTATTGCCTTCTCATTTGAATCTACGCTCCTGTTGTTATCATTTCTTCCTTCTTGTTGTCATTTTCTCACGCTGATCGTTGATCGTCGATACTTCAAATCCTTCCTTTGCCCGTCAAAAATCTTTCTTGTTAATTTCTTGACAGTCACTTCGGGACCCCTATGTGACGATTCGTCAAATCAAGTTCCTTATTTAAATCGTGTTGCTTCACGAAGCCCAATGTGCTCTTTCGTTCCACTCTCTGCCTTGTTGGTTGCAAAGTGACCGGCTCAGGTGATATTTAAATATGTAAAATGATGGAGCCGTTCCCAAAAGAGGGGTATTAGGTACTTGATATCTTGGGGGTTCTTGATATTCACCTTTCGTTACTCTATCTACCTAGGGAGGCTCTTTCGGGCTGGTGCTAATATGTAGATTTCATTCACAACATCCTCTTTGGTGAATTGCTATTTCTCTGCTGGTCCCAACATGTACGAATATGGTATTCCTTCTCAGACTGAAAAGTCCTCGGGTCTTATATAAACCCCCCAACTTTATGACTTTTACTGGTTAAGGAAGTACGAAATGCGAATAATTCGACCAAGGTCTTGCGCAGTGTAACGAGTCCTTGTCAACTCGTGGGAGTAGGACTATCACTTTTAAAATTTGATTGCGTAAAGTTTGTAGTTTCTACACGCGGGCTTTACATAACAGTTTTGCTGCCATTCATCGTGTTATTCACTCTGAATTCACTCTCGCTTGGTGTTATTATCATTATATTCCCATACAATATCATCTTCATATCAACACTGTTTCTTACTGCGATCTCCTCAGAAAGTTATCTTCCCAGGTAGGATTAATAGAAAGTGCCCGCATTCATACACCACCCTGTCGACATCTTGCTCGACTCCTAATATTCATAAGGTAGAACCATTATCACAGGATAAATGCGAAGTTATCTAGATAAGAGTGAGGTTCGTTTGTGTGCGAGAAGGATGTGGAGATGCGATTCATTATGTGATGGCTAGGACTTTGAGTGGATGTGACTCATTCACGCTCTTTAATAGCATGTGTATTTATATTTGATATCATGATCGTACCAAGAGTTCGAAATTCCAGTAAATTGCTCTTTGCATAAGAATCACTGTGGGGAATATATAATCTCGATCCTTAAGATTCAAGTTGCCTCAACCTGATCAAGAGCAGGTAAGGTAAGGCGGTTCATGGGAAAGACTGGCGCGTCGATGGTTTGCCGCCCGTCATCTGATTATATTGTTGAGTGGAGAGGTTGTTCGCAGATTTAGGGACAGTACTTGCTGCACAAATATTCCATCTCATTTCTTCCCATCTTATTTCCAGTACAATAATACACTTATTATTATCATCACATCTCTATATTCCTAAATCATGACATCTTACCTTCCTATCTTCTACCAGCCTAAGAAATATCTACACTAATCTGACATCCAATCAATCTCTTCCGCGATCAAAAAACAGTATAGCAAAATCTCATAGTGTTCAACCGAGTCTATGTATCTTATTCGTCCCCAAACAGACATTCAGAAACGAAGTGAACCTGAAGAATAAAACCGCTAGCAATCACATTCTTCAAATTCCTTTATCCTGATCAGTTGATCCTATTATCCTATCATAAGAACAAGGAAGGAAAAGAGAATAAAAGTAGTCGGTCCAACATTCTTTGTTTGAAGTACAGACAATTGGGATAAGCTCTATTTGTTTCGTTTCCTGATGTTGAGGATGAAGATGCTAGCGTCATTTGGTTTCGGTACTTGGAAATGTGAGATGCTTAATTGGGACAGTTTTGGGACAGTATGAATATGATTAGATAGGAATGGGATGCGTGCGAGTAGAATGGACAGATAACAATCAAGGAATTTATTCCTTTAATTATCTATGATCAAACAACTCTCCTTTCCCTCGCTTCTTTCTGTACATCTAACATCTAACATACCGTACGAGGATCACACCATTCATTCATCTGGAATTCCATCTCCCATCTCCCATCTCCCAACTATCAAACCCCAAAACCCTGGACCGTCGTAGTTCAGAGATAAAAACAAAGGCCTCGAGATATATATCCCGAAACCTGACATTCCTCTCCGGATAAGTCATGTCTCGCTATATCCTATATCCTATATCAAGGATAACCAACTTATTCGAATTTGAGGTCAAAGGCACAACGTGAATCACTATTTCTTCAAAGGGAATGAATGAATTTCTTTATTCCTCGTGTTTATCTTTATTTCTGTCTTTCATCTCCATCCCATCCCATCCCATCCCATCATCTATATTTAGCACAAAGCCACCAGGTTTCTGCAACTTCCATTTGGGCCGGGCGATGCATTGCATTCCTTTATACCTAGTACATCCAGGGGTGCGGTGCGGAGGTACGAAGATGGAGTGAGATGGGAGATGTTGGTTTTACTGTACGTATGTGAATATTTAGATAGGTGGCTAAATTGAACGGTTCTCCGCATCACAGGTTTCCGCAGCATGTTTGAGAGGGTTGGATAGATAGATAGATAGATAGATAGTTTGAAGATGAGATGAGATGAGATGAGTGGGATGGTAATCATTGTTATCTTTGTATTCACATGATTTTTGTGACTGAAATTTATTTGTAGATAGTAACTATAGATGGGATGGAGAAATGGTAAATCACATACCCTCCCCCCTGAGCCACAATACTTGATCTTTCATACGGAAAGTCAATGGGAGTAATCTTAATCTTTACCAGTTTTCTTGGTAGAGCTGCCAATTCTTAATATTGAAATCTTAGTTAGCTAGTTATGTAGATACCGAATGGAAGTCTAAATTTCAGAACTCATAGCGGGGAAGGGAGATTGTTTGATCAATACTAGTCACTCTTTCACTTCATAGATTCATGTCACTTGCAAAGCATATTATAGGCATTAGATTATATATTAATGAAATGAATTACATAAGGAGATCAAGGAAATACGATTGTCAAAGTCCAGCTCTGACAATCTTGATGCGCTGTAAAGAAATAACACTTACCGAAATCTATCGAGTCTTACCTCTTTCTCTTCTTGACAAATGAGATACTCACTTACCTCTCGAGTATGCTGGACGTGGGAGAACAACTTACCTGGAACGACTTCGCTTGGCTGGGCGGGCCCAATCCGAGACATCGCTGTCATCGCCAGAGTCGGTGTCGCTAGAGCTATCGCTGGAGATCGCGATGGCCTTTCTTGCGTTTCTCTTGATCTCTTCCCGAGATTTCCTGACTGGCCTGGGGCTTGGCTTGAGCTGGGGTGAGCGTCCTACGTCGTCAACAACGATAGTGTTGCCGTCAACATCTAAGATCGTCTCATCGATTTCAAACTCAGCATCTTCGTTCTCGTCAATCTCGGCTGCCTTTCGCTTGTTGTTCTTCTTTCTGGGTTGTCTAGCGATTGGAGCTTCGGAATCCGATGCATTTCCTGGGACTTGCTTGCCCCTACCAGCAACAAAAAGTTCAAGGTTATTCATGTGCTTGTCGATGGAGTTTGCATTTGGACGATTGTCCCGGAACTTTTGACGGTTGCGGGGTTCAAGCTCCAAGGCCTTTGCAGTCAAAGCATAGCTAAGGGTATTCTCGTAGCTATATCTCTGGCGAGGGGCGATAGTACTTTGGTGTGCGAGGTCTCTCTCTGCGCGGCGGATAAACTTTCCGACGACTTTCTTCATCTCGAGGTGATCTCGTGTGATAGCCATCTTGTTTCGACCCTCGGGGAGGATACGATGATCAGGTCTAACGTTGAAATTGGCACAGATGAAGGGAAAGTCGAGGAATCTTTCGAGGCAGTAAAGATGAACATGTCCGGCGTTGTGGAAAGGGTCGGTGACAACTGGGTCGGATGATTGCTCATCGAAGGCGACTCGGTAGTGTCCCTTGTGGATGGTGCCGTTGCGGACTGGGCAGTCTTCGAAGCGGCATTTGTCAGAGTTTTGATGCGAGTAGCGTGCAGCAGAATCGGATGGGACGCTTTGAACCCAGAGTGTGAGTCCAGAGTTTTTGGTGTGTCTTTGTCCCTCGACTGTGTGACCCGGATGGTTGAAGACGAACTCTTGTATCTGATTGACCGTGTAGCGAACATGTGGCTTTAACTCTCCATCCTTGGTGTACTGGAATGGATGTACGCCGGCACGATTTGGCGTTCCCCAACTTCTAGGTACTTGTGCGAGAGGAGTGTAGAACCTGGATGGGTTCATCGACTGGATATTCTTGCTACGCTTATTTTTACCTAGTGTTGTCGCGTTGGGTTTAATCCATTTCTTCCCAGGTACCTTGATGGGTCTGACAGGGGCTTCAGGTTCCTTTGGTGCTGGTCCTGGTGCTGGTCCTGACTCGGCTTCACTTTCGTTGTCTGAGAACGCAAAATCCTCTGGGTCATACTCATACTCCGATAAGGCAAGATCCTCTGGATCTTGTTCGATGGAGATGGCAAGAGCCTTACCTTTACCCTTGGATGTCTCGCGCTTTTGCTTGGCTTTTGATCGAGCCCAAAGGGCTCACTGGTGTCAATGCCGCTAGCGATGACTTGAAGGATTTCATCGTCGAATTCTCTGCGTCGTTTGACTCCTTGAAGAAGTGCCGCCGTAACGTTTCGGGGCAATCGACCAGCTTGGTCAATGATGTGCAAAGGATAGGCTGGGTCAGGGAAGTCATTCAAGACAGAGTTCTGGTAATGAGGGGGGAACTCGAAAGGAGCAGGGACGTGTTGAACTGGTTGCATGGTGCCAGTGAAGCCTTGGTTAAAGACTGAGGATTGACTGTTGCATTGTCAGTAATGTGAGGAAGGGGTAACTCAACTTGAGTGGGATTTCCTTGCATCTCTTCATCCGGAAGGTTGAGGTAATCTTCAAACTGGAAGGCTTGAGGAGGAGCTTGAACAGTCTGATGATTGTCGACGGGGTAGATAGGAGAATGGAGCTCGACGCCATCGAGGAATTGGTATTGGTCGTCGAGAAAGTAATCGTTGTAATAAGTTTCCGACATCTTGTTCATTTAGCAGCTCAGCTGTACTAAATTAATTGAATGTAGTAAAAGGTTTAAGTTTTTGGGGAAAGTATCTCAAAAGGCAATGCTAGAGAAGTATGTTTGGGGCTGCTAGAGGATTGTAGATGAGAATGTGAGTTGTATATGAGGAAAGAAAAGAGAGGACAATAGGGATTGTCAACGAGCTTATATGCTGAAATTGATGCTTTGTTTCTTGATTGTATTATTATTTCTTTATGTATACATTGACAAAGAGCCCGTTGAGCGGGTTCTTTATTCTACAAAGAGATGAAAATTAAGGCAGTTGTTCACCAGAAGACGACAATGGGATTGAGTCGGTCAATAAAGGAGAACAGTGATTTTCTTTATACCTCGACCACTGACAAGAGGGACGACATTGTCTTCTCTAGGATCTCATATCCATCATATGGCCAAAGATTCGGCATCTTGAGATTTCCCTTGCTCATCTGACCTACCTGTTTGATTTTTGTATAGCCTAGATGGCATCGATGTAGAACGGGCGTCTTGATACGACTGAGCCATACTGTTCAATCAAAATGGTTTGATTCAATTCTGCAGTATGTACTAGCTCACTATGGTGGCATGATATTGGCAGCGGAAAACACAATTGGCAGCTTGTGATTCCCCAAGCGGGTTGCAAGAATTGCCGTAAAAAGTTTACTAGTTGAAGAACTTTTTGAGAATTAGCTTGCGTTTCAACAATATGAACGAGGCAATTCAGAATGAGGTTTGAACAACAATAATCAGAAGGTCTCCAAGATAATCAACATACAGCACGAGGCCGTTCAGAACAGGTCTGTGTATCTTGTTTGTAACATCATGTTGTTGTAGGTAAGAATGGGAAAGAATGAATTATGGACAAAGAGGGAATAAATATAGACATACCAATAATAAAGAAACTGTTAACATGACTGAATAAGTCATGAAAATAGCACTATAGCACATATCTTACGATCAAAAGTCGGGGTCCTATTAGTAAATCCTCCAATTGAGGTTCTGGCGGATGTTCAAGGCGCAGATATGGACAAAATTGATGGAGGAGCTTCTCCACCATTCCAACAATAGAATGAATCCATTTCGAAGATCGTAACAATTGAGAATGGAGCAAAGATATATACTTGAAGGATGCATAAACCGACAGTATGAATTTATATTGTTGAAGGTACCGTCATTGAAATTGAAGGTTGTTGGAAAAGTATGGAATGGAACAGGAAGATCTCTACGACAAGAATTTATAGATGAGAAGAAATAAAAAAAGCTTTTCAAGGGTTGTGGTCCGTGCCGAGTTAGCTTGATATTTTCCGAATCACAATCACGTGACAAGGCTGGCGATGATGTGAGCCTTGGAATGAAATGATATGAATGGGCTCGAAAAATGGCTCGAGGATGGATGAAAAGTCACCGAAATTTGATTGGTTCATAATTCTAAGACATACCTAGGTAGTCACCGGTCTCCCTGATCGGCTTCAGCAAGATGAAATTCCCCATGTATTGATAATATGCCATATGTATGCTGTACAAGTAAGGAGGTGGTACCTTTTTCCCCATGGGAAGAAACATTCATTGACTTGAAGAAAGTCTGTTATGTCTATTCTACCTAGGTAGGTAGGTAGTAGGGAGATACACAGCAATATCTTACATATGATATAATTCAATATGAACCTTGACTTTGCCCGTAATGTGCTTTGAGCAATAGAAAACGTGTGACCTCCAAAATCAGAATTATCCATTCCTTCCAAGGTTCCCCCCACTTCTTCTCGAAATATTCCCAACTTCACTCCACACAGCACTCGCACATTTGACTGCTGACTGGTAGCCTGCACTGGCAACTGGACTGGCAAACTGGCAACCTGATCGGCTATTCCTATACCTATTTGTCCGAATTCCCCAGTCCCTGTATACGAATGCAAACATCAACGGTCGGTAGGTCGGTCCATTTATTAGAATAGGTACAGAGTATCGTAGTAGAATTGGAAATCAGGGCATGACGAAAGTGTGAAGATCTAAATCCTTATTCAGTATGCTTCTGCTGCCGATTTTCATTTTCGAGTAACCATCCATCATTTGCATCTTCCCTACTCTCTATCCTTCTCTCCATCTAAGCTTCAAGCTTCATGTTTTTATCCACCTACCATACTTTAATCCCTCCTTGAAACCTTAATTTTGCGACTCTCTTCTCGACTTCTTGAACCCTCGTTTGCTCATACCGCTTCATACAATTTACCCCAAAGATGGAGGAGAATAACCCGGAATTGCAGGCAAAGCTGCAGGAATTGGAACATGAGCTGGAGGTTAGTTATGGCGTTTCCAACAACGGGGAGGCTTGTTTTAGCAGCATCGCGTGTGCTCTTGTGCCAGAGATATGCAGGATGTCATTTTTCGAGATAGATTAGATGGATTCTAGAGCCAGATTGCTGATACAACTTTTGCTTTAGGAAGGGGATATTACGGAGAAGGGGTATGTTTTCCCCAGGCTATGCTAGATTCATTCAATGCCAAATCAACAGTTCTGATTTCTCAAACACAGGTATCAAAAGCGACGCACATTTCTACTTTCACAATATATGGGAGCTTCGACGATATCTGCGGAACTAAAAGGGCTGCGCATACATGCTCCTGATGACAGCATACATCCCTCGAATGATGGTTCGCGCTCTGCATCGCTTGCTGCCCTCAATTCGAACTTAAACACCCCAAGTGGGAGCGATTTCTACCCCTCACAAAACTATGGCGCATCACAACTTTCCGGCCGAACAGCTACAATGGCCAGTGATGCAGGAAGCTTTGGGGCCAATAGAGCGCAAGATGGGCGAACCTTTTCATACGCCGGTAGACCTCAAGATTTAAGACTGGCAGTGCATAATCCCACCCAAAGGCATAGCTCTTATAGCCAGAATTCCGCATATCAGCCTGGCTCTCCCGCAACTGGAGACTATCAACAAGACCGTCAAAATGAGCCAAGTATGAGAATGGGATCAATGGCTTCGGGCACAAATTATGCTTTCAATCCGGCTCACCAAACTGGGTATGTGGAACATCCGGGAGAAGTTTACGATCCAAATCACGGAGGGCCGATGATGGATTCTCATGGTACCATGCTTGGGGAGTCGCAACAAGGATATTTCTCGGATTTCGCAGGACAACAAGGATACGACATTAATGGACCAATCTCCTACGGTGGAGGGCCACATCGATATTCTTCCAGTGACGCATTCTCTCCAACAGCAGCGATGGCGCCACCGATGCTGACCACCAGCGATTTGCCCCCTCCTGATGCCCTAGAATATCAAATGCCCCTTGAGCCTCGAGATGTCCCATTCGCTGTCTACGATCCGCATGATAGAAATACTCCCATGTCCAAATTCGACAATATTGCAGCCGTGTTGAGGCACCGGGGAAAGGCGAGAGCAAAGATGCCAGCGTACTGGGTGCTGGACAATAAAGGAAAAGAAATTGCTTCTATAACTTGGGAGAAACTTACTAGTCGAGCCGAGAAAGTTGCGCAAGTAATCAGAGATAAGAGTTCTCTCTACAGGGGTGATCGAGTCGCTTTGATATATCGCGAATCCGAAATTATCGAATTTGCCATTGCTTTGCTTGGATGTTTTATTGCTGGAGTAGTGGCAGTCCCTATTAATGATCTTGACGATTATGCAAAACTTAATACGATCCTGACCTCTACGCAAGCACATCTTGCACTGACTACTGACAACAATTTGAAAAATTTCCAAAGAGATATTACGACACAGAAGCTCAATTGGCCAAGAGGGGTAGAATGGTGGAAAACGAATGAATTTGGAAGCTGGCATCCAAAGAAAAAGGATGATGCACCACCTTTGACTGTCCCCGATTTGGCTTATATTGAATTTTCTCGAGCCCCAACAGGCGATCTTCGAGGTGTAGTGATGAGCCATCGAACAATCATGCATCAGATGGCATGTCTCAGTGCTATCATATCAACAGTGCCGGTTGGAGGGCATGGCGACACTTTCAACCCCGAATTAAGAGATAAAAGTGGAAGATTAATGGCTGGCGGTAGCAGTCGCGGCGAGATCTTACTCTCTTATCTAGACCCACGACAGGGTATTGGTATGATTCTGGGTGTCTTATTGACTGTATACGGTGGTCACACAACTGTCTGGCTTGAAAGTAAGGCTGTTGAGACGCCTGGTCTCTATGCGCATCTCATCACAAAATACAGAGCAACCCTGATGGTAGCCGATTACCCAGGTCTAAAACGGGCAGCTTATAATTACCAGCAAGATCCCATGACGACGCGAAATTTCAAAAAGGGAATGGAGCCAAACTTTCAAAATGTCAGGCTATGCCTAATAGATACTTTGACGGTCGACAGCGAATTTCACGAAGTTCTAGCAGATCGATGGTTAAGACCAATGCGAAATCCTCGTGCACGAGAATTAGTGGCTCCTATGCTATGTCTACCAGAACATGGTGGAATGGTGATCAGTATGCGAGATTGGTTGGGTGGTGAAGAGCGTATGGGGTGCCCTTTGAAACTAGACATTGGATCAGATGGAGATTCTATAGAGGAAAAGTCTGAAGAGAAAGAGAAGTCAACTGGTAACGGCTTTGGAAGTCTTATAGGAGGCGGAACAGTAGCTCCTGCTGAACAAAAAGGGAGAACAGAATTAAGTGAAGTTCTTCTGGATCGAGAAGCACTCAAAACCAATGAAGTTGTTGTGGTCGCTATCGGCGAAGAAGCACGCAAGAAAGCTAGTAGCGAACCAGGGACAGTCCGTTGCGGCGCGTTTGGTTTCCCAATACCTGACGCAACCCTGGCGGTAGTAGATCCAGAAACTGGTCTTTTAGCCTCACCACATTCAGTGGGAGAAATTTGGGTAGACTCTCCATCGTTATCAGGGGGCTTCTGGGCCTTACCAAAACACACAGAACAAATCTTCCATGCTCGACCATACAAATTCGAACAAGGAGATCCAACCCCGATGATGGTAGAGCCA